TATTTATGTCTGATGATATGCATAGATAGCATAAGATCATGTGTCATTTTCCCCAAAATGCATAATTTTCAGAGAGAAAGGACTATTTTAAAACCCACAGAAAGTCATCTATTAACAATTCAAAAGTCAGTCTTTCATGCTCACATAGCCTTCTTACTAACAAAAAGATTACTAACAACATAGTCACCTCTTTCATTAAGTACTTACTATAAACCATACCTAGTGTTAATTAATTTATAGTAATATATGTACTTATTCCCTAGAGCAACCCTGTCAGATAGTTACCCACATATTCCAAGGAGGAAACTGAGACCCAAGGAGATGAAGTAAATTTATCAAAACTGTGCACCATCGAAGGAGTGGGTCTTAAAGAGGAACCTAGGTTTATGTAAGTCCAAAGTCTACTGTTTTGACTACTATACCAAACTAACTCACTAAGATTTCTTTACATTCCATGATCTTGCTAAATAACAGAATATAGAACCAGTTTCATATTGAAGCAGAAGATATTTGCTGGAAAAAAAGAACCACGGCTTATCAAGAATCAATGCATTTGAACCGTGGTGCTCAAAGAAGTGGGTGTGAAGAATCCTGAAAATTCCATGGACTGCTAAAAGGGCAAACCTATCTGTCTTGGAAGAAGTATGGCCAGGGGGTTCCTGAAAGGCAAGGATGGTGTGAGTTTGTCTTTCCGATTTTGAACATGTTGTCAGCAGAGATCAGTCCCTGCTGAAGGGCCTCACACTCTGTAAAATGGAGGGCAACGCAAAGGAGGAAGACCCTCGCCAGGGTGCATTGGCTCAGTGACTGCAGCAGTGGGCAAGTGTTGGGAACAATGATGAGGACGGTGCAAGATGGGCCAGTGTTCTGCTCTGTTGTGCCTGGAGTCACTCTGGGCCAGAACTGAGTTGATGGCACCTAGCAACATCACAACTTATCAAAAAACTCTGCCCCCTTCTGGGAAATGAACATCATGTCCAAAGCACCAGCATCCTTACAAAGAGAAGTTGCAGTGAGGGAAAGAGTGATTCCACCGCTCCACCATCCTACTTCCAAACTCCCACCCCCCACAGAACCTTCCTGAATTCCTCTCTTCCCGCCATGAAAACACCTCTATTGAAATGTGTTCATTATTCTCCCAACTCAGGCCAGGCCAACTCAAACCTACTCATAGCAGCCAATGTATAAACAATATTCTTCCTCAGTGCAAACATAACTTTCATACTGAAAATGGGACAGCCAAGAAGACTCTCGTGATTGTAATCTATCCTCATTATCTGTGGTCGTTATAACCTATAAAGTCACCACGAACAGTAAATTATCGAATATAAAAGCCTTTTTCCTAGAGAAAATACAGGGTTGGGTTAGGTTCCTTCGAACCTCAACTCACGTTTTCATCAACCATTCAATGCATAACCTTGTTTTATGTGTGTTTGGGGTATAAAACACCTTATTTCATATCTATTGTTGACTCACTAGCATTGAACACTCAACCAACCGCACGATAACTCGTGCCTGGGGGAAGCTTATCTTACACATGTATTTTCTATGTAAGGCCCATCACAGTCTTCTTAACTCTCGGAGCACTGCACAGCACCTCAACAGTGCACGCTGGGGCCCTCTCAGAAAGCGAGCTTACCAGCCAAACGTGAGTGGCATGGCGACAACCAAGCCACAGACAGGATGCTTGGTGACAGTGTGAGAGCTGAAACTGACAGGCAGAGCAGTGTGTGTCGGGTGACCTCAGTTCTTCACAGCCCTGTGTATGATCCCAAGGGACCAGGAAAGCACCCGGATACTTGATTGGTGGGGTCACAAAACTTTAGGAATAGGCAAACTCACAAATACCAAATATCAAAATAATGAAGGATTGCTTTAAGGTAGCCGCTTTTGCAAAAAATAATAATAAATTTTATAACTGCCAAATAAACTGCATCCCAAAATATAGCACAGACATCCCATCTGCCTGGAGCTGTGTGCCCTCCTCGCTTGTCAGAAATCAGAAGGATACCTGTGGCTGGGATGCTGTCCAGAACTCCATAGAGACCTTTGGGATGGAAGAACCAGTAAAAATTGCACTCCACCTCTCCAGAGAGTGAGCAGGCCAAGGAGCAAATCGCAGGAATCTAGAGGGGGCATGAGAGTGCTCACGGATCCGTCAGCATTGGGAGCCCTTCACCCATCTGACACCAACTTTCGACGAATATCTACAGCACTTTTAAAGTCTACAGAACCTATGGGACCCAAGTTTAGAGCATCTGAAAACAAAGAGCCATTTTAAGTGGAGCATAAAACATTTACTTGCATTTCTGAAAGATCTCATTTCCTCTATTTCCCATCTATCCCAGAATTACTCCCAGAGATTAAGAATCAATCAAATTTACAAACCCTCCATTGAAATACACTTGCATCCTGCTGTGTGGCAGACCAAGGACCTGGGATGGCTTTTCCTCCCCAGCAGTTGAGACCCCAACACACACGCTTCCTTTGGTGAATAGTGTTTGGGGTCTGGAAGAAGTCCAATTATGAATCGGTGTGTCCGTACATGAAGTGGAAAGCATCTCTGCCCCCAGATACAGAAAGGGTTGTGAAGCCTGACCAGCAGAATAGACGTGTGTGGCTGACAGCATCAACATTGGTCAGAGGCCCAGACCCTGTAGCCGGAAAGGATTCTGACAGTAGAATGACCCTTCAAACCTGAATTTCTCCCAGGTTCCTGCAGACGGGAGGGCCATCTGAGCCCCGGGTAAGGGAGCCTGTACTGTTGTTGCTTAAGCTAATCCTGTTCTCCAAAAAAATAAAGGCCTTGACAGTATTCTCTTTGCCATCCGAGTTGCAGCCATCATCCTGATAGCCTAGTCACCCTCCTGATATCACCAAAAAGCTTAGAAAGGAATTTTTAAATGTAAAAAAGGTGCCCCTTTCCAGGCACTTTGTCTCCCTGCTACTACGTGAAAAGGCTTCCTATAAAATCATCATTATGTTTTCTCTTAGCCTTTTCTTCTTCAAAAGAAAACACAACTGTTTTTCTTAATATAGCAAGTCATTTTTCACCCACTTAAAACTCCCAAGGCAGGAAAATCTTCTGTAAAGAGCTGATGAGGCAATTGTAAAGGATGAGGGATGAATGCTAAAGTTTCTGCACTGCTTGTGTGATTAAGATTTATAATAGCAAACCTGTAAATCTCTGGCATATGTATGCAAATATGGGGCCAATTAGTGATTCACCTGCAACTGCTCATTAAAAGACCCTGAGTGATGGATTGCCACAAAATGGGCAGACAGTGGCCTGACTGCCCAGCAGTATCGATGGCCACACCAAGGACAGTCCACGGACAGGATATCTGCAGAAGCTCCCTGAAAGCCATCCGATTTTTATATCTTCTAAACTGGAAGATGGTGCAGTAAAAAAATAAGTCACGTGGGAAAATGTAACTATAATGCAGCTAGAAAATAAAAACAGGCAACACAAGCCAAGCATTGTTACATCATTAAAAGAGAAAATCCTCCTTCTGAGTAATTTTCCCATAGAATTCAGATCACACACACAAAAAAAGAAGAAAGAAGAAAAAAAATTGGAAAAAGTTTTGGAAGAAACCACATGTGATTCTTTCCCCGCCAATTACTACAAATTTCCACAGTTTGCAACTCAGCAAAATGCCTGAACCAAAGCCTGGTAAATGGCAAAGAATAAAATTGTTAATAAAATGTTTAATCATCGAGTCCAGGCCCTACCAGAAAGAACTATGTTCTTCTGTTACTTAAACCAAGTTTGAGTTATTTATTCACTTTCTGGCTTCGAGTTTCCACTAAAACAATCTAATTAAAATTCAGATTGAAAACAAACAAAAACTTGGCTTCCCCCAGGCGAGCAGAAGCCACATCTATAGATCTGAACCGTCAAGTCCTTGGATGGCTCTTCCCTTTGCCAGACCCTTTGGCTCATCACAGAGACATTAGTGACTAAACTATTGCTGTGAGTGCAGGGCTTTATGATCGCCTATCACTCAAACCCCTGTTTCTTTATGATTCTCAGGCTTCAACCCAAACAATGACCAGGGCATCAGCTACTTGGACCAAGGGCCAGGGCTTTGGCCACCCAGACCTTGCCTTCAAAGTGCCTGCCAAATACTTCACTTGTTTGCTTAGCAGCTACTCTCCCAAGCATTCCCAAGTATTCCCTGTCCGGAGCACATAAAGGCTCTTGCTGAATGCCTTCTCCCACAGAGCATCCCAGAGGTATTGAGGGCCTAATGAGGTGTCAAGTAAAAAAATACTCCCTGACTAAATGGCCTCAAAGGGAAAACAGCAGGTGGGCAAGGTCAGCATCCAAGCTCTGGCAGGAAAATTTACTAGATGCTCCTTAGGTTTAGCTCATCAGTAAATATCACTGCCTTGGAGAAAGAATAAATAAATAAATAACCCTTAGCCATTGTATGGCAAAATGGTGAACTTTGACTTGTTTGCCTATACCACCCAAAGAGTCCCCTGGTTGCTGAACCTGATTTGCAGGTCTATACGTTACTCTTGGGGGTGAATTGGCTTAGCCTCATTAAGTGTATTTACTGTAAAAATACACCACATCGTGTGAGAATAAATACATTTGAATGTTTACAGGGTACCTGGGTTATCTCCATGAAGGGTTATTCGGTTTGGTTTATTGTCTAGAGTAGCCAGTGCCCAGCACTAACTTAGTGCTTAATAAATGACTATTGAGTGAATGGATGGAGTAATACTATTTATTATAGATTTATTCACAGATTCTAGCACCCACCTTTCCCATTCCACCCACATTATTTTCATTACAAAGTTCTCCCTTTCTTTCTTTTTTTTTTTTTGGTGTTTATGAACAATTTTATTTGATGCCTTAGCAGGTGCAGGAAGCAGCTTCATTTTCATTGTTGATACTTTCATAGATTCCTGACATTGGGGTCTTGCACATACATCATCAGGAAAGCAGACGGGGTCAATTCTTTTCCTGGTTCTCCCATCAGGTAGGCTCAGTAGGCTTCTCTGGATTCAATAGGTGGGATCTTGTTCGAGAAGAGTGTGTACACATAGGGCCAGATTTTGTTCGTCTCCTTCCCAGAAAATTGGTAGAGCACTCCCTGGCTCTTGTATAGATCAATGACTGGCTTAGCCATATCCTTGTACTGCCTTAGCCTGGCAGCAACTGCTTCAGGTTTATCATCTTCCTGCTGGACCAATGGTTCGCCAGTGATATCATCAATGCCATGTGCGGGAGGTGGGTTGAAGTCCAGGTTATACACCCTTCCACTGGGATGGTGAACCCAACGCTGGCTGAGATGGTCTTTGAGCGTTTCAAATGGAATGTTCAGCGTGATCACTAGATCCAGCTCACAGATTCTCTCCAGGGCTTCAGCCTGTACTAAAGTCCTAGGGAAACCATCCAGTAGCCAGTGCTGGTCGCTCCTGTTCTCCAGCTCCGACACCCTGAGGCGTGTGATCACATGGTCAGGAACCAAAAGACCTTTCCTGATGTACTGCTTTGCCATGTCACCAACCTCCGTGTTCGCCTTGATGTTCTCCCGCAAGAAGTGGCCGCTGGAGAGATGCTGAAGGCCCAAGTTCTGGGCGATCCTCTGGGACACGGAGCCCTTTCCGGAGCCGGGCGGCCCGAGGATGACCGCGCGCAGGAGTTTGGAGGCCATTGCCAGCACGCCCAGGGAGGCGACCCACGGGACCGCGAGCGCTGGGAACTTTGTTTCTTCTCTCCTGGGCCCTCGCCAGCGTGTCCAAAATTCTCCCTTTCTAAAAGTCTTTGCCCCTTGCCCGTCATTCTCAGTTTATTCCAGCCACTTTTAGAGGGGAAACTTAATCCTTTCTCTTCTATTAAGCATTCACTAAGTATTCCAACCTACCTGGATTTCCAATATCTCTTGTCTCCTGTACTAATTACATCCATATAATTTAATTTGGAATTTAATTATTTTCTCTTTTGTTTTATTCATGTTAATGCTGTCAAAAGCTCATTGGGAATAGGGCCAGTTCTTATATTAAAACACCAAATCTGCATTGAATGAGAACTTTGTAGCTCACACACAGACAGTATTTCATGGAGTGTGTCTTGTGCACATCCCTGTACTACTAAGGAACTAATGCTAGTTCCGACCCTCACAAGTTTTATGAGCCTGAGAGTCAATGTTATTTCTGCCCCACACTACTACTCTTGCCAATTAAGGATCTGTACTACTATCCTTGTCAAATGGACCAAAGAACTGATATGTGCATTCAGTAGCAGTTCACATTTTCTCTTTAACTTTTGAAATTTATGTACCACTACCTTCCCAACTTACATTTTTTCTATTATCCATATTTAATCTATTTCACCTTTATTCCTGTCACAGCAGATTAAGGACCTGGATTCCTTTAACTTAGCCTTTAGGATATAAACTCACTACAAAGCTAGAGTACTAGAGTGAATGAGGACATTCACGGGAGTCTTAGTGCAATGAGTTAAGCCATGGGCTGCTAACTGCAGTGCTGGCAGTTCAAACCTACCAGCTGATGGATGGGAGGAAGATAAAGCTGTCTCCTCTGATGAGTCACCGTCTCAGAAATCCAAAGCAGCGCTTCTTCTATGTGGAATAGACTTGTTAATTTTTGAAGTTGTAATCAACTTGATGGCAAGGCTTTCAAGCCATTCATTACAATAAGCCTTAAGAGTGAAACACTTGCCTATAAAAAGCAAGGTTGGGAGGTTTCCTCCTCCCAGTGAGTTCAAATCCCTCTGTGGGGGGAGTCTACTCCTCTAAATCTACTCCTGTAAAAAATTGCAGCCTACTAATCAATAATCACCTTCATGAAATAATCGCTGAAGATAAGTGTGCAACAGCAAAGTGTGGTGAAGAAAGCAGATAGTGCCAACCTCTCAATCAGAATCGTGTCTGGGGTCTTAAAGGCTTGTATTCAAAAAAGCAGCCATCTAAACTAGGAGTCAATTAAGTCCTCGGGGAAGAAGCACACCGCCTTGTGTGATTCAAAGATGAGAATTACGAAAGTCCTGAATTTGTTCTGGGTGCAAGTATCTCTCACTGGTTTCATGACAGACATTTCTTCCCCTACTTTTGTATTATTGTTGTTTGGGGTTTCTTTCTTTTCCTTCTTATGCACTATTAGTATTTGTATCTGTATACTATTATGTTTTTACCCTAACCACCTTAGTGTGATTTTGTTTTCTATGATTTTCTGTTGGAGCTCCCATCTGTGAAGCACAGGAGGAGTGAACCCATAAGGATAATAATGGATACAAGGGGATGGATATGGGAATACAGCGGCCTGGGGGTAGAGATGGGGAGAAAAGGGGGATTTCAGGAGTAACTAATGCAGATGGGAGGGGGTAGGGAGCACTAGAATGGATTGTGATTGCATAAATCCTCTTGAAGGCGATTTAACCATGGGGGAGAGGGAATACTCTACAATTGGTGGGGGTGGTTGTACAATTCTCCATGATATAACTGAATGATTGAACTACTGAATTATATGGTATATAAAGTACTTGCCAAAAAAAACTATTGGGGAAAAAAAATGACCGCGTAGAAAAACACTATGGAGCAGCTGCACTCTATGGTCACTCTGATTAAAAACTGACTTGATGCCACCTGACATCAAGATCATTATCCGTGGTGCAGACCTTAGTGTGTTGTTGTGGAGAAGATGCAGGTTGGCATCCACACAAAATAACGTAAAAAGAAAAGCTGGGTTGTACACTTCCAGTCATTGAAAACCTTGGCACACATTTCTACCCTGACACATGTGAACTCACCCTGAGGCAAGAGCCAACTAGAAAATTACTGCTAAAGGTCATGACAAGACATCCCCTGTCAAATGGACTGGGCATTTGATTCCTTGGGTTGCGTTAGATGATCCTAACACCACTTGAGAAAATAATAAATTCACTGGTGCTGGTTTCACTGTATAGATAAACTGATAGGAATTAGGCTAATGCCATTCTTAAAAGAGTGCTTAGGGCACAGAATCTCATACAGACCTCTAAGGAAGTTGACATACATAAATATTGTTTCAAAGACCTACTATCTGTTCGCCTCTACTGAGAATCAATGCCCAGCAGTGGCCCTTATATATGAACAAGAGCTCTCCAATTGGGTTAGGTGTACAGTCGCAACTTCCTTCCTCAACCAGAGGATTCGCTGTTTGGGGTGACAGCTTTACATTGCAAGGCCCTTTCTCCTTTTGTTCACTGAGCATCCTCTCTTGTAACTCTTTTAATATCAGAATTACATATATAAGATTAATAACTGGAACTCATATGCATATCATAACATGCAGTCACCACGAATATTGCTTAATTTTGGACCAGGTTAGTGAAAGCCTAAGAGAACCAAAATTAAATCAGATTTAAGTTTTTAAAAATAAAGTTGAACTTCTGCTAAAAATGAACATAGCCTAAAAAAGGGGTTTGTATTTGTTTATATAATACACACAATACGTCAGCTATATAAGCACCTTTGATTGCAAGCCAGCTTTATGCTGACATCATGAAATTTCAACAAAAAGGAAACAATCAAGAATAGATTTTTTTTTTAAGGAGCCAAGCAAGAAACTCACTGGAACGTTCTTTCATTTCATGCATGAAATATTGCTTCCTAACAACTCAACATAGATTCAGCCAGCTTATGGGAAAGTTTCAACTTAACAGGCATATCTTCAAGATATACTGGCTAGAAGAGACGAGTGGTGGGAATTAATACCTGCACAGCCTTTTTCAATCGGCTGCTGTAACCATCCGTTAGGAAAGAATGCTTTCTTTTATTTTCAGTCTTTGATCTATACAGGCTCAGACTTACCACCTGTCAACAATCTCTTCTGTGCAACTGGCAAATGAAAGGTCTCTGTCGATAAATAGCTCACACACTGTCGGCAGCATGGAAGCTGCTTCTCCCACAGGTTCTCCACATGCACTGAAGGACAGGGCTTTATCTTGGGCAATTCCAATAAAGTAGCTGCAGCCAATTTATTAGGAAGGAGCTAGACAGTGATCTCGACTGGGCTGTTCCTCTGTTGATAGTCTACTCTTCCGTCTTCCTGAAGTTCCCAAGAGGTCTCTTTTCGCTTATCCTTTGAATGCTTCTACCTAACTTTAGTAGATGATTCTAATAATAAATAGAGAATGATGGAATCACATCTTCTCTAGTGTTCTTATTCATGTGGAATTCATTATTAACTTTTCCAATAGGGGCTTCCGGAGGGGGACCCTATTACTTATCCTTTCAGCTCCACATTGTCCAGAACTCACATCTGCATGCCTTTAGAATTATAAGCAGAATGAGGCAAAGGAGGATGCCAAAAAGCAGAGAGAAGGAAGGCTGCCGTGCTTAGAAAAGGGGAGAGGTCATCTCTTGTCGCAGATCCACCGAGGCAGGGAAGGAGAAGAAGGCAAGCACGCAGGCCAGAACTCTTCATTCTAAATCCCTAAGCTGGTAACCTCGCCTGTCTTCTGCAGTTTTTCAGTGTAATTCCTTTGCCAATTAAACAATAGTCAAGATCCTTGCCTTATTATGATGATTGCAAATCTTACATTTGGAATGGAAGATCATGCAGAATTAACTCTGAGAATCATTTTGATATTTGGTTCCTGTGCATCTAATCAGAAGGAGAGAGCCAGTTGAAAAGAAACATTTAGAAAGCAATAAAGTATAAATCCTCTATTATCTGGATCTCTGGTGTCCAAGGAGCCCAACAGTGAAGCACCCGGCTGCTGACCTCACCCCCCACCCCCAGGCGCTCCCTGGAGAAAGACATGCTGGTGAACTCCTTCTGTAGAGATGACAGCTAGGAAACCCCTGGAGTCCAGGAAGAAAAAGCATGTTTGGAAACTGTGGAAGCAATTGTATAATTCTGCTTGACATGATTTAACTATGGAATGATATGATATATGTATTAAGTCCCAATTAATAATAATTTTTTAAAATCATACATCCAGGAATGGGTTGGAGGCTCACACTAAGTCCTAGCTCCAACTTCACAACAACTAGTTCTGACATCATCACCCTGCTCAATACTCAGCCTTAGGAAAAGAACATAGAACATATGGGTGCTATAGCAAAATGTGGCAAAGAAATTAGTGGGTGCCTGGCTATCAGATAAAATAGTGTCTGGGGTCTTAAAGGCTCCAAACAAGCAGCCATCCAAGTGAGATGTCCATTATGGAAGAAGCACACTACAATCCGTCACCGAAGGATTGTGAATCATATGTTCCAAAGTCGAAGGAAGGATTGGTATCAGAGCCAAAACAGTGAGAATCTGGCTTGTGGAAGGCTGTGGAATATAGTGGGAGCCCAATATTCCTTCGTGGGTACTGCATAGGGAACAAGCCTCCAGGGAACGCCCTCTCTCCACAGCGGAGGGCTGGAGGATAGTGCTTACTGCACAGACTGCACTGAAGAGAGAGGCGTAGAGAAGATCAAGGACATAAACCTGACTTGAACAGTTAAAGCCTTAAGCCTTGATCCCCGCTCTGTTGCATGCTGGACCTGATCCAGTTTTCAACATCCTCTGTCTTTTTGGTTGGTTTTGTTTTGGGTTGTTCATATTAGGGTGTATCTCAAAGGTTATGTCAGGGAGTTCACCCTCTTAAAGCTGTGTTATACGTTTTTTCTGTGTTTCAGGATATGGAAACCCAGGATTGGTGAACATATGGGGACAGCAATTACA